CGTTCTTGTTGCCTTATAATTACAAAACCTTCTCCAATAAAATCATCAACGTTATTGTCTTCTACCTGGACCTCTCCAAGCCCAGAAAGACAAATGTTGTGCAATACACAACAAGCAAGAATGAAACTTGGAATTAAATCTGTCCTTTTCATATCTAAATGCTTCAGTCGTCGAAATCTTCCTTTTAACAGTGCAAAAGAACGTTCAACGACTTGTCTGGACTTTGATAGTGTTGTATTGAAGCGTTTCTGTACCTGAAAAAGAAAATTTACTTTAGTGAATAGAATCTATTTCAATAAAAATATTAAAGGCTCTGTCAATAACAACAAAGGAAAGGGTAATTAAGAGCCTCCGCAAGAAATTCGTGCGTGTAAAAAACTATAAATTTATTATCAATAAAAAACAATGTGTGATGGGCTTTTATTCAGTTGCCGCTGATTCGCATGTAAGTTCTCAATACTCCATGATTTTATTTATTAATTTTCTATGGCTCACTATGAAGCGCTTCCATACATAGGTCACTGAACCTGATTCCATGACACCTCTCGATGCCTTCGAAAGGATTATGTTCTTTGGTTTCTGGGAGTTCGTTGGATTATGTGGAGTGATGGGCGAACACTGTAGAATGTGTATCTCACTACATTGGGAATAAGTTGTTTCACTTTTGATTTATTTCACCTACTTAATTTCTACGACCGTATGACTAGCGATAACAGCTTCTTTAACCGTTTTCATAAGATATCCACATTTAATTTGACTATGTGACTTTGCGACAATTGTATTTGCATCTGTGTTTAATGCTTACTTATTTATTTATTTTTCTGTTATTTTCACTAATGTAAGTCTACGACTTTTAATGTTATTATTCATTGAAATGGGTTCTATTTAGGAACCGAAACGTTTAATTGTTTTTTTCATGGATATTAAATTTATGATTTTTTACACGCACAAATTTCTTGTGCAGACTCTGAATTGCCCTTTCCTTTATTGTTAGAATCAATTTCCTTATGCATATGCATATATGCTTATGTACCTATATAAGTTTGTTTTGGTTAGGGTATATAACAGATTCAAGATAAATTCTCAATGAAACTTACTTGTGTTAGGCGACCATTGTCAATGTAGGGAGGAATGCACCATGACAACACAGGGTATGCCTTGTCAGCTATGATGTATTCACCATTTGGGAAGAGAGCATTCACATTACGTTCTGCATCCAGAAATAAATCAGAATTTCGGAAGATGCGTCGATCACCCACCGAACCAGGGTAGCCAGCGAAACAATCAATAAACCTCAGTTCCGAATCACACACTGCCTGAAGAACCACAGCATAATCCTTTTTCCTTGTTTTATAATGCAGCGGATCTTTTTGGAGCACAAAACAGGAAAATATGCCACACAAATCACAAACCATATAAACTGCAATAATATAAATAATAAGACAAACCTTAGGAGCCTCAATGCTTATATTACAGCCATCAATCGCACCAATTACATCTGGCATATTAGAAAGGCGCTGGAACTTTTGTTTTACAGTATTAAGACAATCTCCTGTTGGCCACCTAATAATATCTTTTGCAATGTCGTTGAGAGCTGCAACAACTCGTTGGACGCTGACATTCATAGACGATTTTGCAAGATCATGTTTTAGACCTACAGATCTAGTATAACAACATCCCATCATACTGAGAATACTGAGTAAAAGTTGTCAGATTACTAAATTTATGCATTCACGATTTTACATAAATATATTACCTGAAAGAATCTGGTGTTGCTAACAGCCACAATGAAGCGAGCAATTGCGTACGAACAGGGATGCAAGGTTTATTACCAGTGTTCCCCGCTAAAATAGGCCCAAGACGATTTTTTAACAGATCGAATGTGCTAGGCAGCATTCGATAATGTTCACGGAATTGTTTGGTGTTAAATTTTGGGACTGTGTTTTCCACATAACCTTGTG